TGTGCCTCCAACATCCACTTTCAGCAATCACCTTCACTCCTCTGACATTTTTTGTATATGTTTGAAACAAGGATAGATGAGCTGGTCTCTTTCCAGTCAGTGTCACTGTTGCATATGTTTACCTATGGCCATTGCACCCTGTTTTTTACCTTAATCTGGCATTTTTTTGGGCCTGCACAAATGTAACTCCTTTCAAAATCATCATTCCATTTCCAAATACGTTGTGTCTCAAATAGGCTTTAAAAATATTTTTACACATTTTTAAGCTGAGGGTAGCATCATCAGACCATTCAGAAAGTGCAAAATTCAGTGGATGAATTAAGTTCCAATCCACAGTTCATGCTGATCGGATCCATTTGTATCATTTGCAGTGATTGCATTCCTCAAGCATGCCTGCTTCCAGCCCATCACTTCAGAATATCTGGTGAGCACCATGAGCCGATTTACATCAGGAGAGAGATGGCCTTTTTGCCTGTCAGGGGCTGAGGCAGATGTCAGCCATCAGGCATAGTTAGCCAAGAGTACACTGAATTTCCCCTTTCTGCCCGGCTCTCCCATGCAAAAGCACAGCAGCAGAGACAGAGGGGATCAGTTTCTAAACAGGATATAGACATTTTGTTTCTAAAACAGTTGTGATAACAGACTTCCAGGAAAAGTGGGCATCTGCTGCTTTTATTAAACATGTTGAGCTAGCATGGTCTAAAAGACAAGCTACTGGACGTTGCCCAGGGGAAGCTGGTTCTAAAGCCATGACCAACTAGCAACAAGCTGAATGACCTTAAAGGCACAATCCCATGCGCACATCGGCAGAAGGAAGGCTGATGACTCGCAGTATGCTGGGAGATGTAATGCTTTTTTCAGTCTGAATATGTGCAGAATTGTGCCCTAGGTCTCTTCAGGTGCATCTGACCTAATAGTTCAGGCTTGTAGATAATTTAAAATAAAAACAAAACAAGATAATCTTCTTAGAAATGTTACGGTTGATTATTCCTCCATACAATGTTTCTGTCCCTGCTTCCATGAACATGGAAGTCTTCCCAGGGAGACCTTTTTGAGATGTTTCCATTGTCTGAAATAATGTTCTTCTACATGAAGGTGCTCATATGTTTGGTTTAAAAGTTGATTCATGCACCCAGAGCATTACCTAGCAAGCAGAGCACAGTTTCTGTTCTCCATCTCTAAAACAGGAAGTAGCATAGATTCCTCAACAAAGGCTGCCACCTGAATCATAAATAAAGTTTGTATACCACTAGGCCCATGGCCCATACACAACCAATCTACAGTAACAGAATAAATTTGTAAACCTGACTTGAGTGTCTTGCCCTTTCTGTAGTGGATAGTCACACATGCCCTGATCAATCTTCTAGCCACGTGGTCTAGTAGCAGTGGCTTTTGTTTCTTGTTCTTCCAAGGTGCTTTTCATTCTCTGCTGCAAGGACAGCCACGTGTGCCCCCTTTCCTGGAAAGCTGAGGTGAGCCTGTGTTCCAAACTTGAGCTGCCCTGGCACCGAAGAATCACAGGCCTGTTGCAGCCACCTGTCCTTAGCAATGGGTGTGCTTCTGCCTGGCCTCTGCTAGAGTTGCAGCAGGACAAGCACAGGCTCTTGCTGACACAAAGGGGAATGTGCATGCTGTAATTCCTCCTCCTCCTCCCAGGCAACCAGGCCGTGCCAGGAACCGATGCCCTTTCCCAGGAATGATACACAGTGCAATTAACTTCTGTGTGTGTCATATAGCTCTTCTTTTCATTTTCTTTAAGAGGCTTGGCTTCTTTACTGGTTAAACAGAATCCAGAGTGTTCAATATGACCATGTGTCTGTCTGTTCCTCTTGCTTTGCAATATCAACCAATGCTTTCGGCCTGGTCTGTTCATTGCACTGGCAGACATCAACCGTGCAGTCTTTGATGTCTAGAGAGAGAGTCAACCAGATTTCCATGCTAACTATTTGCTTTGCTGGATGAAACCTGCTTCTTGTGCTCAGGAAGAATCACAATAAGATTTGGTGCTGACAGTTGCTTCCAGACTGGCAATTTTCCATCTGGACTTCCTCAGAAGATCACATGGGAATGGCAATGCCTTCGCTGCACTCCATAATCTACCATTGTTTAGCACTCCACTGTTGAGCGGGAGGTTTTTCCCCACTCCAAACCAAACTTGTGTCTCATTCGAAAGGTACAAACTCTTCCATAACTGATCTTGACAGAAGTTGCATTCTGTCCATTATTTTGGAACCTGTCCTATGCTTCCTCTTGCATTGGTTGGCAGAGAGTTAGTTCTTGAGATAAGTTAAGGAATTTAAGAGAAGGAAAGTTTGCTATTGCTTCTTCCCACCTCAAGCTTCCTGTACCCCTCGCAGGGCACTGGACTAGGCGGCCATATCTGAGACATTTATAATAGCTAGATGGCCTATAAAGACCCTTCCAACATTGTCATTCTACTGTCAGAGAGACCGTGGGGTTAGAATTCCAACATAAGGCTGGAATCTTGAAATATCTTAGAGTACAATCCTATGCATGTATAAACAGAAGTAGTCCTGGTGGGTGCATGCTGGTCAATGCAGGACCTTTCTAAACATGCATTGGAGTGGATCCTAAAACTCCATGGAGTGGAGAGCCAGTGTGGTGTAGTGCTTAAAAGCATGGGACTGGGACTCAGGCGATCTGGGTTCTAGTCCCCGCTCAGCCATGGAGCCAACTGGGTGACTTTGGGCCAGTCACAGACTCTTGGCCCAACCTACCTCACAGGGTTGTTGTGGAGATAAGATGGAGGAGGAGATGTAAGCTGCCTTGAGCCCTTTGTAGGAAAAGGGCAGGATATAAATCGAAAAATAAATAAATAAATCATGGAAATAAAGTTTCCTGCCCACTCCCACCCTCTGCAGCAAATAGTACTGAGGATGGTCCCACTGGTGTGCAGTGGGATGTGGATGAAGGGATGGAAAAATTACCCCCCACAAGTTTCCTTTCATTACCTTCCCTTAGAATCCAAGCCAAAGTCTTTTTAATTTTTTTTAAGTTACAATACGAAATGTACACTCATCCAGTTATCACAGATACCTTGTCAGTGTTATTGCATGACCTTGGAAACAACACATAGCTGTCATTTGGTTTGAATGTCATTTGCCCCCCTGTATGAAAATAAAAATGAAGCACCATGGGAATGCAGCATTTTGGAAACCGACCCACTGTCGATTAACTTGCTATCTCTTTTAGAAAAACTCCGATTCTCCATGGCTCCTGGCCTTATTCTCCAGCCCAGTCTAGCTCCTACTTTTCTCAGCAATTGCTGGTTATTTTGTTCTGATGTGGCTATAGAGCACGTGGGTTTTGAAGGAGTTTCTCCAGAAAGACTTTGACAGGCTGGAACTGAATGTCTTCTTTCTCTATGATGGCTGCCAGCTGTATGGCCACAAAACTGTGCCTGTTCATGTAACTATCATGCTGATGGGAGGTTTCCCGTGAGCGCTGTGTCTGGACCACCCCTACAGCTTCAGTCAGGAAGCCTGTAGCCAGTTCCCCTTATTGTGCTCCTCCTCAGCCATGTTGGGTGTTCTCCCCCACCCACAATTACTAGGACTGAGTGGGAAGGAGACGGACGACGGCACTTCTAATTTTCTTACACTTCTGTGCTTGCTTTGCTCAGTTACCTAGTACTGATATGTGAAAACAGACAGGCTCATCTAATAAACATGACATTGGAGGCAGCCAGCACTTAATTGATATGGCGTTTTGTTCCTCCCAGACACCAGTGATGTCGTTCCCGGCAGCTTTACAGGTTTGGGGTGGGGGGAGGGGGTAGGAGGAGCTGTGCTTTGCCTTTCTGAGCACTTGCATCCCAGGAGAAATTATTCCTCGCTTTGTTTTCTGTTTGCTCAGAAGATCAAATATTTTCAGAGTAACCCTGGCGGAGTATTTATAAGTAGGTGAATGAGAGTCCAAGTGAGAGGCAGGCTGTTAGGTGTCTGCATATCTGTGGGTTGCCAGCCATTATGGGATTTCAGTACTCCTTGGTAAAGATTCTCTGATCGTCTAAGAGACGCAGCTGATGCAGGAAATTCCTGAGCATTGGAAGGTACAGTTTCCCTCGGGAGGAGATGCAAGGTTGGGCTGCTGGGTGGGAATTCCGGGCCATTTCTGAAGGTTGTGTCACTGATGCTTGGAGTCTCTGTACAGAGCATATAGTGACCTTGATGTGGCTAGTCCTCATGAGGCTTTCTGTCTTGGAAGTATTACTGTTATTCGTCCCAAGCTTGGCTCCTGGGACAAACCAAGTCCCTAATCCAAAACACAGCAGTTATGCTCAGAAAAGGCAAGTGTTCATCTTGAGCAACAGGCAGATTGAAAAATAGGCAAATAGCCAGCATAGTGTAGTGGTTAGAGTGTTGTTCAGGAAATCTGGGTTCTGATCCCTGCTTGGCCATAAAGTTCACTGGCTGGCTCTGGGCCAGTCCTTCAATCTCAGTCTAATCTACCTCATGCACAGTGAGGATAAAATGAAGAGGGGGGAAGATTCTGTAAATCGCCTTGGGTTCCTTGCAGGAAAAAGGTGGGCTATAAAATAAACAATAATACTAAATCTAAGCAGGGGTTCTGTGAGGCATGCATAGATCTGCATGCATAGGTGCACACCACCACCTCCATCCCGAGTGCCAGAATCCCTGAAGGAACAATGTGAATTGTTCTGCTGTCCAGAGCACCACTGAACCAGATCACAGTTATTCAGAAGGGGAGAGCCTGCTGGTGGGAGGTTAACAGGGAACGTGGGGAGTGGGGAGCCTGTTGCCAGACAGAGGCCACGAATCTGCCTTGATCAAGAAAGGGGAGAAGGCAGAATGCCGATGCTGCCGCCATGAGGTTGCCACAGGTCTTCTCGGGAGTTGCTTCGTTGCTTAATACCTACATCTGTTGTCTGTGGGAAATCGGAAGCCCAAGAGTGGGGGCATATGAGCTCTTCCTTCACCAACAGCACCTCCTCTCTCCTTTCGCCCTTCCTCCTTCAGATGAATCCAGTCTGAAAATGAATGAGGTGGACCATGTGCCTCAGTCCCTCGCCAGCCACACGGGCAGCTACCTCTGGGGTGTACAGAGACATGAGCACAGAGCAGATATGCTGAAGCCTGACCCTCGGGATATTTTCTTCCTTAGTAAGTGGGAGAGGGCATGCAGTGCAGGCCTGGGGTATTTATGGTGAGGAAGGTGGCTGTGGGGGAGGACTCTAAGGCATACATATGTGGGTGTGTTCTTTATATCTTTTGGAGAACGTGTTCATCTTCACAACGTTTAAATCTCTGAAGTCTTTTAAACATTTTAATCCTTAACATGTATAAGCTGGATATGCTATTGGTTGTCATTTTGCTTGTTTTAGGTGTGTTTCCTTCCTTGGGAGGTGTAGAGCCAGGCAAGGGAAAAGCTTAGAATTTGGTCCTTCTGACTTCCCTCATTCTAGAGTGTCTCACTCTATACATGGGGCCATCTGTGGAAATCAGCAAGGAGCAAGTTTGTTAGGAAACCATCTGGCCAAGAAGGAACACCCTTGAAGCCTGCAGGGGGTGAGGAGGACCATTGAGCTCCCTTACTGAGCTTTAAACATCATGAAAAAGGCAAAAGAGGAGGAGACCTGAGTGAACATTTACGTCAGTCACTAAGTTGGAGGAGGTCTTCATGCAGGATGCTTATGCATCCTCTGAAACCATCACCTTTGTGTTGGCCCTTGGGACTTTGAGAGATTGTAGCGGGAGCAGTTCCTGTAGGACAGGATTTAATTAGAGTGACTTCAGACCTTAGAAGAAAGCCTCCAGGCCAGGATTGCTTTAAAGCTTCCGGAAAGGTTAGGCACATGCTTTTGGCATGTGAAGGAGAAAGTGTCCCACTACCTATGTGAAAAACAGAGGACTGTCTTCAGTGGCCAAAGCAGCCAATAGTTATCTGTGGTTCTCTGTGTACTTTCTGCACTGAGTCTAAATCAGATTTGGTCCCGAGAAAAAGTGAATTATTCTGGATTTTGCAAATTAAATCATTTAGATTTGCTCATTTGAAATAATATGTCTCATGCATTTTACAAGTTTTATAATTTATATTGGTTTTGTTAGTGATGGGGAAGAGCAAGGAGCTGTTTTGAGCACTGAAGTGTTCCCCTTCCACAGCCTATCCTGCTCTCAGTTGGTAGAAATCTTAAGCCTGTTTCTCTCAAATAGCAGACAAGGCAGTAAAGTCATGTCTAGACCATACCACTTCCTCCTGCAAGCCAGAGCTCATGGGAATGAGGGCTGCTCCTCCATACAAAATAGAATGCAAACTACAAAGCAGAATTCCCACATGTAGGATACTAGACGTCAGGAAGAAGGATGCTGAGCACTTAGCCGGGGTGCAAAATGCACCCTTGTCTAGAACCAGTGGTCAGCCAAGCTGGATTCCAGTAGACTCGGGAAGCCTGTGTGGTCTGGGATGTTCTCTGGGCTTGATCATGCAGCTTCCTCTTGCAGCTCCTCAGATTGAGCCATCCCATGTGGAGAATGTGTTGGTGCCCTGTGCTTACAGCCCCACATACGTGGTGAAGGACTTCCCTATCGCCCGCTATCAGGGCCTGCAATTCGTAAGTGTCCCACAGCCCTCCCCCTCCCCCCGCACATGCCTTTGTCCATGGAGAAGCATCTCTGTGCTTTTTGCCATGGTTTGTCATTGTGCATCCGTGTTCAATGGAGTGAACCTAATCTCAGGTTCTTAGAAGTGTGTGCGTGTGTGTATTATTAATAATACTATTAATTTCATTTCTATACTGCCTCATAGCTGAAGCTCTCTGGAATATATATTCCTTGAAGTAGTGCAGCATCTTTATCCCATATAATATATACAGGCCTTCTTTAGAGGATAAATCAAAAGCAGAAAGGGACTAAAACACATGAATATTTAATTTAAATTAAAATATAGTAGTTAATAAGCATTATCATACTAGTCACACTGCAATAATGCAAGAATGGCAGTGGACAGTAGTTTCAAAGCATGGTAAGCAAGATGCATTCATCTTCTGAAAAAACAGGAGAACCTTCTAGCCTGCTAAACTATAGAAGAACATTTAATCATATGGCAGTTTGCAGGGGAACATTACAAAGAATTGGCACACTATAGGGAACTTTATTGGTTGCCAAGAAATGCTCAAGATTTCCTTCAAAAGTACAAGGGAAACCAAGGACATGCCAGTAATAAGTGGGTTAGGGAGTGTTAAGGAGACATGCTATAGTGTCTCACCACGTGCCACAGTTCCCAAATAATACGATCTACGAGGGCACTGTGTATATTTTAAAGGCACTGGTAAGGTGATGGAATTTGAAGATCTGGCTGACCAGAAACCAGTGTGCCTGGCAACAATTCTCCACTTGTACTACCAGTTCGGTGATGGATGCCCCCTAACTAACACTGAGTAGGAAAAATGACGAGGGCTCTTACTTTATGGGTAGGAGAGCATTTGTGCAATGTTTGGAATAAGAAGCAGAGCACCCTTTTGGTAGGATGATTCGTACAACAAAATCACTCTGCAGCAGATACTAGATTTGCAGCTTTGCAAAAACTTTCTGCAAATGACAATACAATCTTAATGAAAGCAGAACCTGAACCTGAAAATATTTTAAGGTTGAAAATGGTCTCCTTGGGGGAACTATTGCTTCTTTGGTATAGCACAGGAATTTTGAGATACTTCCTAAGAATATTGTGTATGCCTGAAAGTGGAAGGCCTTAATCTAATCACTAACAAGTCAGATATGTCTGAAAAGGTTACCACTGCCCATGAAACATGTCATCAGTCACAGGAGTCATTTTGGGGACATCCCTATTTTGGAGATCTTTGCAGAGATTTTTAGAAATATTGGGTAAGTATACACAGTGATTGCAGTCTGATTATTATAATTACTTTAACTGATATGCTTTATTTTAGAATGTATGTTCATGTGTTTTTGTCCACATCTACTTTTGGTTTAGCCCCCGAAAATCTTTATTTATTATACAGGGCCAAAACACATTGACTACTTCAAGAAACATCCTGAGACTTGGCCACTTTATTGTCCTGGGTTATTTTGGATGTTCTCCAGTTTTGTCTGGCCTGTGCATCTGTAAACTGTTACAGTGTGGAGAGGGTGTGATATGTTGCGATCTGTAAACCAAACCCAAAAGGCATTGTCTGGATCCATGCTTGCCAACAGCATCAGCTGAGTCCAGAATGTATTAGCAGGGATGGGGGCAACACTATTGAAAGACAGGGAGGGGGCAGTTAAGGATGGAAGAAGGGGTGGGGGGACAAAATGTCCAAAGAAGGGGAATTGTGCCAGGTCCCACCTGAGCACTGGAAACACTCTTTTAGTTTCTGTGCTTGGGCAGGCACAGCTTGCTCTCACCTCCTCTGTAGACACTGGAAAACGTATCTGACCCTTCTCACACGGTTGTCCCTCCCACAGGTCTACCTCTCATTTGTTTACCCCAATGATTTCACCCGGCTCACACACATGGAGACGGAGAACAAATGCTTCTACAGAGAGTCCCCGCTCTACCTGGAAAAGTAAGTGTGAAGCGAGAGCACAATACAGAAGCTGGCTGTCTTGGTGTGTGGAGCTGTAGGCAACCTGTCCCATGGGCTGTGCTGGAGATGGAGGGCTGTCCTCTCCTGGCGGATGCCATGTACACCCAAATTGCAAAATATGTGTAAGGCAGGTCCTCTGCTATGCATGGCCACAAAGGGCTGGTGGCGAGCTCATGTGGACAGGTATCATTTGGGGATGGGGATGAGAGGGCCACCAAGCCGCATTCGGAGCAGGGGTTTTCTCTCACTGGTAGATTGGAAATGGCAGATATTCCTTGGCCCTCTTTCCCTCCCTATATCCACACTTTTCATAGCAGTATTGAGACGGCTACCATTGATTTTGATGCTTTTAAAGAGATGTCAAAGTCAGCTGCAGATTACTGCTTGATCCCTGTGCTACTAGGATTGCAGAACTCTGCCTCAGTCTGCTTTCTAATCCAATTCTGTTTCATCCACATGTATCAGCAACAAACATGGCAAAAACAGAATTGTGGCCACTGCCCCTTGGGGGTTCTGTGGCTGAGTTCCCTGTAGCCTCTGTCCATCAACCTACACACACTTACACCCAGGGCCATGGATGAAGAGGATCTGGTCCAGCAGAACGTATGCCACAGTATGTTCACTGGACCTTATTTTACTACAGCTGGTAACTCCTCTGGAATCTGCCTCTGTGAAAAGTGGCCAAGTGCCCCTGATGCAAGCTCAGGGCTGCAGGTTCTGCTTGAGTCCTGTGTGTGATTTTCTTGCATCTGAGATGTTCCTGCTTGCTTCTACAGATTTGGCTTTTACAAATACATGAAGATGGATGAAGAGGAGGAGGATCCACACCAGAGAGCCTTTCTCTTCCTGAATCCCGAGAGTAAGTTGTCATTGGAAGATCCACCTTCCTCTAGGCAGGCAAGAGCCACTCAGGAGCATCTCAGCCCATTTGTGAGCAGTGCTTGAACCCCACACTCTTCTCTGATGATGTGGAAGTCCTTTTTACCATCTGCTTGGAGGGCGTGCATTGCCAGACCTGGCAGGTTGTGTCTTGCCCTGCCCAGAGACAGATTGCTGGGTGGGGTGGGGAAGAGGGAGTAACTGCAGGCAACTGGAAAGGTATGGAGGAAGAAGAAATTCAGCACACTGGAAAAGCAGAGTTGCCTCCAAATTAGTTCCACACAGAATAACCTCCTGCCTCTGTTCTTACATTTCACCCCTTTTTGGCACAAGAGGTTGTGCAAATTAAAGCAATATCCAGCGTTCCCTGCAGTGGAGCACCATTCACAACACCAGACTGGCATCTGAATGCATTTATATGTATATGTCCTTTTTTCATAGCCTTCCACACTGGCTCCTGTTAGCTGCTCTCATTATGTCCGCTGAAATGGTTTTGAGACTTTGGGGTTTCTGCATGTGCTGCTGGCTGTCTTCTTGAAGAAAGACATGGTCAAAGCACCCCCTGCCCCCTGCCCCCACCTTAAAGCCGTTCTTTGCTGGGACAGAAGAGTATCTGATTATTTGGGCCTTTTTTGCATCTCTGCTTCTACCTGCACTTCTGCCCCAGGTTTCCAAAGCTCACCCAGGCAAACAGCTTCTGCCATGCAAAGGCCAAGTTGTCCAGAGCCAATTTGTGCTGAGAACAACCTTGTGATTACCTTAAAGCACAATCAATACTTTCACTGTTCTAAATCTTGCTTGTAGCAGCAAGGATATTAGCCTGCACCACCTCTGGCATGCAGCCTTGACTCTTCTCAGTGAATTTATGTGGCTTTGATAATTAGTATGGGGGAAATTCTCTCTTGATTCATCTGATTGAAATGTATGGAGGTGTAAGTGCAGTACCATGCCACCCAAAATCCTAATTTTCCCCAAAGAGACTAATGTTCTTTATTTAAAATTTATTATGCAAATAAGTACCACGGGTGCACATTTTCTCATTTTGCATCAAGTTGTTTTGCTAGCCTACTTGATTTTGATTCCACAGAATTTGCTGGCTAGGGCAGGCTAGAAGCACAGTGAGAACAGGACATAAATGGAGGTCATAGGGATGAATAGCCTGGGGAAACCTGGCTGAGGCCCCAGGGGAAGGAAAGACAAGGATCCCTGCAGGAGTGCAAAAGCTCTCCTCCTAAACATTCCTAAATACAGGGCTATTCAGACGTTGCCTGCACAGAACTGTATGGTCCAGGAAGTTGATTTTTAAAGGGTGCAATGGAAATCTGGATTGTGCACAAATTCTAAGTTTACAGAATTACAGAAGAGGGATCAGCTTAGATTAAGGCAGACTTAGGGTACAGAGGTTGTACCTATCCATGCCCTAAACTCACCCCAAATCCCTTTCTCCTCCTTTCTCCCTGAGGCTTCCCACAGCCCCTTTCTCCTCAGTCACCTCTTATAATCCTACCCAATGCAAAGCTCCCTTGCTCCACTGTCTTCCAAGCTCTCTTCACTTACTAGCTGCTCACGCTAGACAGAAACCCTGGCGTTTCATCTGCTTTGCCCATTACTGCTTTCTAGATTTTCTTGAAGAGGAGGAGGAAGGAGCTGACAGCCCTGAGCCCACCAACCCTCTCCCTGATGCCAAGGACAAGAGCCCCAGTGTGCCGGATCCACGTGTGTTCCCCGGGGCAAAGCGGAAGCAGAGGCCCTTGACGACGCAGGAGTATGGGAACAACATGGACTACAATGCCTTCCACCAGAAACGAAAGAGGTTTAAAGGAGGAGGAGCCTTGGCAGGGCAGCCTGTCCCCACGGGCATGAACAGCGGGCCTAGCCTGAGCCCTGTGGCTCCATCCAAGGCTTTCCAAGCCTATGGGAACGCGGCCCCTCTTGGAGAACAGACTGTGGTCCATGGGCGGTCCCTTAGCTGGGCACAAAATGAGGAGGATGAGGAGAAGGGAAGGAAGGAGGGCGAGCTGGGGCTGCTGTCACCTTCAAAGCGGGGCAGCTCCCTCGGTCTTCAGCCCCACCTCTCTGTGCCCTTCTTTGCTGGAAAGACCAGACAGCAGGCTCTGAAAGAGGAAAAGCAGCCCAAGAAGGAGGCCAAGAAACCCCCAGAGAAAGTGTACGTCACTCGGCTGCAGCCCAGCAAGAAGAAGGCCGCACCACAAAAGGACGTGTTCCCTGGAGTCTTCCTCTATCCCAGGCCACCAAGGAAAGTGCACTTGAACTCCCGAATCCTTCAGCGGCACCCCACTCCCTTCAACAAACCCCATGCTGTCCCTGGTCATAGGACAGCATGGCTCACAGGCAATGCCTCCAGGGAAACAGAGACTTTTAAGAGGAAAATCCAGCGGGCCAGCCGGAAATGGGATCAGCTGCACAGTCGAGAGACCGCAAAAGGTAGGAGCAAGCAGAGGATGCATCCCAGTGCCCCAGCACTGCCTGAGGAAGGGCTGTTTAGCAAGGAGACCTTTGAGGTCACCACCCCAGCAAGGACTACCCTAGACTACAATTCCTCGGAGGTGGTGCTCTCTGAAGGCATGCGAGTGACGTCCTTCCTGCAGATGTCAGAAATGACAGAATCTCAGCAGGAGGAGGTTGAAGGCCCAGAGAAGGTCCAGGAGGAGGAGATGGAGGAAGAGTTGTCTGACTATAGTTATGAGAACTCTGAGCTGCAGCAGAGCTGGCTAGAGGACTCCATCAACTGGCAAAGGACGTTCAGCGTCAGCCCCGTGGACTTTGAGCTGCTGCGCTCGGACTGGAACGACCTGCGGTGCAACGTCTCAGGAAACCTGCAGTTGAGCGAGAGTGAAGTAGTAGATGTGGTGGCCCAGTATATGGAGAAACTCAACGAGAAGAATGGCGGGTAGGGAAACGGGATTGGGAAGGAGAGGGGATGGGGCTGAAAGGAGCCCCCTCCTTCCAGTTGACTCGGAAGTGGTGCATTGGTCACTTTTGGGCTGCTGGAAGCTTCTTCTGAACATAGTGAGGGATAAATCAGCAGTGTACTCTGACTGAATGTTCGCTGGCTTTAAAACACCGAGGGGCAGAGAGGGTTGTGTCCAATGTTAGAGCAGTTCCGAATCAATCTTCGGCCTGCGAAAGGCCCCGGGTTCAGTACTTGCTCTTTGCAGTTAGAAGGGTCAGGCAGCAGATGACGGAAGAGTGCCTGTCCATCAGAGTAGGCAATATAGGGCGGTACAGACAAATAATTGGGCCTGGTATGAGGTAGTTTCTTATGGAGAGGGAACTTGGTCTAGCCTGGGACTACACAGCTTTCTGTTCTCCCTCCCACAGCATCTACACCCTCCTACGGATCATCAATGTGGAGAAGCGGCGTGACACAGGTCGAGGCAACCGGTACCTGATGGAACTGGAGCTGATGGAGAGAGGCCAGAGGACTGTCCGTCTCTCCGAGTACATCTATGTCCTGCTGCACCAGGGCAAGTCCGAGGACAGCACTGAAGTCAACCCAGAGGGGCCTGCAACCGTTTCCAATGAATCTCAGCCACCACCTAGTGCCTGGAGTCTGCTGTATGGAAAGCCCATCCTGTGCCGGCCTTTGCGGCTCAGCTGGAGGCACGATGTTATGGTGCATTTTGTGGTGCCAGGTAAGAGAGTGCACCTGCATCCCAGGAATGTGCAGTTGCTCTCCTGAGCGGGCAACATGCAGTAATGGGCAGGCTGGAGACCAAAAGGAGCGGGCTTCATAGGGGAGTTGAAAATCATCTGGGAGAGGCTTTGTTGTCCCTGGTGTACATGTATGTTCCTTTTGTCCCACTGACACTTCTGGTCAAACCAGTTTTGCAGGTTTTTGTAGCAATACACAGCCTGCAGAGCCTGTTTGACAGAGGAGAGATTAGGAAGGCTGTACATATCACAGGGAGCGATCCTTCTTGCATACTAGCTTTTTTTATCTGAAAAAAACAAAACAAAACAAATGTTTGTCTCCAGCCCAAGAATGGCTTTGTCTGAGATCTTGGCCCAATTCACTTCATTCTCAAGTGTCATGCAGAGGTGGGTAGAGACCTGTTTTCCCCTGTGGAGGAGGGCAGGATGCGTTCCAAGGGAGCAAAGCTCAGGGAACCAATGTTCAATTTGGATGCCAGGAAGTACTTCCTTACAGTTGGGACCCCGAGGGTATGGAATGGGCTTCCATGGGAGGTGGTTGAAGCCCCATCAGTGAGGGTGTCCAAGGATAGGCTGGACATGCATGTGGCAGGCATGTCATGAGTGGAGCCAGCTGGAGCTGGGGGGTCAGACTACATGGCCCAGGAGGCCCCATCTCACTTCACTCTGCTTCTGTGTTTCCATATTTTACCCAAGTGACCGGATAGTTGCTTCCTGTGGTGCTCTGGCAGCATTTGAAGTGAGTAATGTAGGGGAGCTAGTAATCTTTGCCTCCAATAAGATACCCTCTTTTTTAAGGTATCAGAGCAACATGAAATGCACACATGGGAAAATCAGGTACTTGGCATGCCTAGAGCTGAGACATATTTCCCACTACAAAGCCAGGAGGAGGCCGCAGCGTCTCCTGCTCAGTAAAGTTCACAGTGGTTGAATCATCCGACAGTGCAATGCAACAAGCATAGCCGAATATACTTTGCAGTAAGGAGGGAAAAGCCATATCCTGTACCCAAAAAGATCAATTCCTTGATTTAAATTAGTTATAAAAATGTGTTGCTGTTAGCATGTACAAAAACCATATCCTCTGGTGAAAATGTGGAAGGGTCAAGTATATCCTGATCGATAGAGGATAAGGAAACGGCACTGATTTGCATCCTCTCTCTGCCTAATTATTTCCTCCTCCTGCTGGTGGAATACTGAATTGCCACAGGCTGAATGCCTCTGAAGTCTTGGCTATGTGGACACACATACTGGGAGTGTCGTTCTCTTGCCACTGCAGACTTATCGATACCCCAAGCCTTTTACCCTGGAGACCCTGCCTATGAGCAGCCCACTAAATGCATGCCGAAATGCCAACAGCCCCTGCTCTTATCCCGCAGTGAAGAACCAAGCCCGCTGGGTGCAGCAGTTCATCTCAGACATGGCCAGCCTGTACCTGAACACCAAGGATGCCAACTTCAACGTCATCCTGGTGGACTTCGATAGTGATGACATGGATGTGGAGAAGGCGCTTCAGGAGGCTCGCCTGCCAAGGTACCTTGAGCACGCATCAAAACGCTGGAGCCTTTCTCAGGGGGTGTTTTTCCTAAGCCCACAGAGCTCAGTCTTGAAGCTGTCCAGCTGTTCACTTTTTGAGCCTGATTGCTAATGCTTTCCGAACACATTTCTTTGCCTTGTACAGTTGGGTACAGTCAGCCACTAGGGAGATGACTAAAGTTGCTTAAATCAAATTTGATGCTTGTTTTCTTCTCCAGATTTTCCAACATCATGCGTGATTAGCCTGCTTCTTCTCATCTGTGCATGAGAATGAGGTTTGGGTAGCAAAATGTAACCACAGAAATGCCCCAGCACATTTGTGTATATGAGAAGAGGAGCCAACAATAGGGTGAAAACCAGCTGCTCTGTTAAACACGAGGGAGGGAGTGCGCACCTTGCTGCAGCTACTCCCGCATTCAGTCTGTGTTTGATAATACACTTGCTTTATGAGTTTTTGCCAAATACCAAGCAGATGACTTAACCTGCAGATTGTATTCTTATGTTTGCAAGTTTTGATCAGCTTCACTGGTGGATTAAGGCGGCAACCTAAACATGCATAGTAGATAGCACACCCCACTGTAAACAGGGAAACTAAGTAGGCATGGAATTGCACTTGATGTGTGTTTATTTATAGTGTCCCCTCCCCCATCCCCATTCTTCAGCTGAAAAGGGTCCCAGTGCAGCTTTCATAGGACCCATTCATTCATTTGAAAGGAAGCTCAAAGCAAACAATGTATCAATAAACAGGGGGATTTTTAACCAACTATATATAAACTTATATCCCTATTCCAGCAGCTGAAATAATAGTCATAATGACAAACTGTTCAAGGAAACAAAGCCACCCTAGTGCTTGCGGAAGTCAAAAGGAAAGTTGGCACAACTGATCAATGTGGCAGACTAAGTCCGACATTACACAAGCACACTTCCACTTGCACACTGATCTGGGAAGGATGAGGAGGGAGGAGGGAAACCACAATGAGCAAATGGAATGGAAGCAGGACAGAGAGGGGTGCAGGCAAATGGCGCCAGTCTCAGCAGAGCTCCTGGACTCAAAATTAGGACAAGATCCTATACATATTTACTTAGAAATAATCCCACTGAGCCTGATGGAGCTTTTCCCATTAAAGCGTGGAGCCTTAGTTGATTAATCAGTAAGAGCCTCTCTTAATTAGTGGCTCTGTGAATTAAGGAATGATTAGTTCCACTTGCCAAGACTCTAGGTGCTGAGGAAGATGGAAAGGTGCAAGCTGCCTTCTTTTAGCAAAGCATGCAGCTTTGACAACCAGCTGTCAAAGCTCAGGCTTCCTTTTAAAGCGGGGCAGTGGGTTGAAAGGCTAATCAGGATTTTCTGACAGGGGCATATGCATATGCACTTGTTTGCACCCTCTGGGTCAACACCCATGAAGAATCCCTACTGCACTGTGATAGAAGGCACCTTCCAGGTGGACCGTTGGACCCTTTTTGGACCCTTGACCAAGTCCCACTATATATATATACTATATATACTATATATATATATAGTGTATATATATACTATATATATATATACACACTATATATATATACACACACACACACACACACACACACACACACTATATATATAAAAAAATACAGAACTATTTGCACACATTTGGTGTGCTACAGTTCAGTCTTTTTTTGTAACGGCCAAAGTGCTGCCTGGGTATTTTGGAGGGCTTGTCATTGGGCATCAGTCCAGAGATCACAGCTCATGATTCAGGGCAGGGGTGGTGGGGGAGAGGAAAAAGTGGGGAAACAATGACAGCAAGCAAAAAGGAGGTTGCAATCTTGACAGGGGGCACCAAGCCAGCAGTGCTGTTTTGAACTTGTGCAATGGCTGTCACTGCCAGTGGCCTGGGCAGTCAAGGCAAGAGTGACAAGAAGTTCCTGCCAGCTTTTTCCCGGTCCCCATGATGGGGTCAGTCATCCATGCCTGGATTACAAAAATCTGTCAGGGGTACAACAACCCTCACAACAAACCACAGATTGTCAGGGTGGGTTGTTGCTTGCAAACAAACAAGTCACCCTGCATGAAACAATCCATGGTCACACAACCAGGCAACCAACCTGACGTGTCACTCACAGTGAATTTCCATGTCATGAGAACCCAGTCATCTGGAAACTCCTGAAGGACCAACTTGCAAGCACACAGAGCATTGCTCTGTACCAGCCCACCCACTCCTTGATCACCTCTGCCCTCTTCCTTTCTGTGCATCTTCCTCACAGGTTCCAGTACTTGAGGCGCACTGGGAACTTTGAGCGCTCGGCAGGACTGCAGGCAGGTGTGGACTCCATAGAGGTGAGCACTGAGGAGAAGGGGGGTGCTTTCCAGATAACTGCTCAGCATCCGGCTTGCCGCAGAGTCATGGCCTGTCTGTGCTGCCCTTTGATCCCTCAGGATGGCAGCACTATCCTGTTCCTGTGTGACCTGCACATCCATTTCCCGCTCAACATCCTCGACAGCATCCGGAAGCACTGCGTGGAAGGGAAGCTGGCCTATGCACCCATCGTCATGAGGCTGGGCTGCGGGAGCTCTCCTCAGGAACCCAACGGTAAGGCACGTCTGCTGCTAGGAGACGCTGGGGCTGCTGGTCGGAGAGCCGGCTGGGCTGAACCAGCTAGCACTGTGCAGTGGACACAAGTGAGATGGGGAGTCCCTTCTTCAGCTGCAAAGCCCTGAGTCCCAGCTGATTCTCTGGCAAAACTTAGAGCCTTCGCTCCTGCAGCCACAAAACCTCTTAGCTGAGGCCCACTGTCAGACTTCAGTCCCTTCTCCTCTGCAAGGCGGCACATGTCACTGCTCTTGCACAGGTGCAGAAATAAAGCACGGCAACCCGCTGGGAGCCTTCCACCAAGCTGCTTCATCAGCATCAGCTCAGGCTTGACACAGCCACTGTCAGGAATTGTGTCCCTCCAGTCCAGCAAAGAAAGGCCAAAGAATTTGCCTGAGGGCTGCAGGAATCTTGGCTCCAACTTCCCTGCTGGGAAACCGGCTTTGCTGCTCTTATCTAAATGGTTTTGACATGACAAGCCCTCAGTGGTAACACTGCCAAATGAGGCTGCTGAGCAGGAAAGGGACATCCAGCTCAGCCTGCACGTGGATGGTTCTGTGGGAAGCAATAGGGGAGGGAGAGGAGCATTTTTCCTGGGTCGTGCTGGTGTGCCCTTTTCTTCTATCCTCTTACATCTTCAGGGTGCAGTAGACAGTCCATTTCTGCCAATCACCCCTCACCTGAAATTTGCACCACGATTTTTGACCATTGCATTGAAAGTATGAAGTAGAGCTGTGGTGAGAAGGGATGAGGAATGGCTAGCAGAGCATATGCTGTGTAGTTTTCCTGGGGCTCTGCTTTTTCTGGAGAAGGAAAAACACAGGCTGAGAGTGGCTGTGGAGAAGGATTCCCCTAGTGCCAGTTTCCTCCCTATCTGCACATACTTTCCCATCACTTTAGACTTTTCTGGGTAAATATACATAGGATCACACCCTTAGGAACATAAAATGTGATGTGTATAACGTGGCTTGGTCATAAAATAATGGCTAAATTTAAATGTATTACGACTCCCAGACTGGCTGAGGAATGCTGGGAATTGTAGGATATTTTTCTGTCTAAACATGCCTAGGATCACACCCTAAGTAAATTTGAAATTTGGTTTCAATAACTAATTTTTTGATGTACCAAACACAATAATTTATGAGCACACCGAGTTCTATATAATAAATTTTAGGTTCTTATCTAATGTCTGGGCAGAAGGAACGTCAGCAAATCATCTTGGGAACAAGAATCCTTTAGAAGCCAGAAGAAACCAGAAGAGCCAGGGACAGAGACAGGCTGGCGTATACCGTCTGCTCCTGTTTGTGAGGAATTGTCTGGGGTGGACTGTAGTGAAATTTGGTTTGAATGAAAAATGATCCAGAGCTGATTTAGCTGGGGAGACTCAGTTGCCTATTAAGAATGATAAAGTAACCAAGCCTATTTAATTGAAAAACCTCAGCCTACTATTTGAAGTAATGATTTTATTCCCTTTTGTAAATAATTTCCCCTAATGATATCTTAATTTTGTTCATTTGAAAGATTCTCTCTAGTAGTGGTGTCAGGCCCATGCAATATGCCATAGGAACCGGGCTACCGAGTGTCTTGTAGGAAGAAAGAGTTCTTTGCCAGATTTCAGGCGACACACCACTTTTGCAAGGCACAAAAGCCACAGCTCATGATCACGGGGGGTCTTCAGAACTGGACTCGCCACCCTGCTTGGCTACTGAGATGTTGTTTAAGCATTCTCAGGCCTATCTTCATAACTAAGGACAACCAAATTAGTTTAACAAGTGGAAGTCTTGGAAAGGGTAGACACAGATTGCACTTTTGTGGGTCTTATTCTCAGTACATAAAAAGCCATCTGTAAGGAATCTGCCTGAAACAAAGAAGACAGATATAATTCATCAAGCTCAGTCTTGTGTGCACTGACAGTCCATCATTTCACATGTGTCTGTCTCTGTCCTCCCTGGAGATGCCAAGGACTGGACCTGGGGCCTTTTTACATGGTCTCTGTTGTACCACTGAACTACGATCCTTTTCAAGCTTCAGTGGCACCTGCTATTCTAAGCCAGTTTTTTATCCAAGTAGGAGCCAGGTCTGATCCTGCTCAGCTTCATGAAATTAGGTATTTTCTTTCATTCTTCATTCATTCTTCATTCAGCTTCATTTCTGTACTGCCCAATAGACAAAGCTCTGCAGCTGGTTTACCAGAGTTCCACTTCATATCCTTTGATGTCTTAAAATGTCTTATTATGGAGGCTTAATCTGGCCCTGGAAGAATGGCAAAGCTGGTGCTGTGTAGGCCTCAATGGAGAGATCATCCCACAGTTGTGGGGGGCGAGACCCCTGAGAAGGCCCTTCCCCTCGTGGCTGTCCTCCAAGCTGCCATCTGAGGTGATACCTGGGGGAAGTCCTCAGTTGTTGATCCAAATATCTGGGTAGATAGTAGTTGGAAGAGGTGCTCTGTCAGGTATTGTGTTCCCAAGCCATGTAAAGCTTTACAGATTAAACAGACCTTGAATCAGGCTCAGAAACATAGAAGCAGCCAGTGAAAGCAACTGCTTTTATATTTCAAGATTCATAATAGATCTATATTGCTATAGAATTGATCTTACACTTTTGGAATTTCTGGGCTTGCCTATTAGTCTGGCTGCTGTGTTTTGTGCAAGCTGTTGTTTTTTATCTCTCTTCAAGGGAAGCCCCATGTGGAGCTCATTGCAGTAACCTAATTTCAAGATTACCAGAACAGAGATGACTAAAGCATGCTATCTTGGTCCAGGTAGAGGCATGGCTGGCCTACAACCAAAGATAGGTGAAGGGCCTCTGTGCCATTAAGGTCGCTTGAACCTCAAGTGAAAAAGATGGTTCCAGGAGGGCCCTCAAGCTACAAGCCTTTTCCTTACACTGCAGCACAGCCTTATCCAAAAGAGGGTGAATAACCTCCAACCAGCTAGAGGAACCACCAACAGCTTCTCAGTGTTGCTTGGATTGAGCTTCAGTTTGTTAGCCCTTTGTCATGGTCCAGGGTCAGGATGTGGGCAGCCAGAGACAAGACAGAGGTGCCAGGACCAGGGCAACAGAACCTTAGGTGAGACAAGAGTCCAAATGTAAGATTTAATGGCAAGTCCAGTAGCAAAGTCCAAGCTGTAGTGACCAAACAGGCCAGGGCCAGGAACCACGTGTACATATCAGGGCAGAACAAGAACATGGTCAGGAACAAGCCAAGAATTTAGAACCAGGAGGACAGACAAGGCTGCAGGTACCTTGGACAGGATACAGGATGCAGGCACTTGGGGCAGGATAGCTGGGCAGAATACAAGGCAAGGCAAGATACCAGGAACGAAAGGCAGCAAGGGCCAGGCAGGATGCAGGAGCTGAACCCCAGCTAGTAGAACAACCTGCATTGCTGGGACAACATACATAGCATGGCGGGATACAAACAGTGAGGTAAGCTGCCCCGAGGCTTCGGCGAATGGGGCGGCATAAAAATGTTTTAATAAATAATAAATAAATAAATAGGTAAGAGGCAGACACAACAGCAAGGCAACATGGTAAGGCAGGCTATGCAGCAGGAAAGGTCCAGCAGGATGCAGCACAGCAGCAAGCAGGAGGACCTTTGTTGCTGAGGCTTGCTCTGCAGGAAAGAGCTTGTTTCTCTATAGCTCTTCCCCCAGGACTCCCAGTTGACTCTCAACAATAGACTGAGAGCTCCAGCAGGACCTCAAACCAATCCTATGAACACGATAGTGCTTCTTGTGGTTCTGGCCACGAGAACAGCCCAGATCCTAAGACCCTCATCAGTTCATTGTCGCAACAAGGCACCGGTTGAGAGCATCCATAGCCTCACCTGCTGAGGATGAACAGGAGAAGTAGAGCTGCATCTTAATTAGCATACTGATGAGGGCACACTCCAAAATTCTGGATCACTGTATTCAGCAGTCTCATGTAAATAGTGATCAGAATGGGGGCTAAAACTGACCCCTCAGGTACTCCACAGTGGAGAATCCAGAGGGCCAAGCACTATTCCCTGGCATCACCTCCTGGAGCCAGCCATTTAAGTAGGAACCGAACCACTGTAATGCAGTCTCCCATGCTCCCAGCTCAGCTGGTCACAACAGAAGGATGCCATCTTTAATGGTACTGAATGGAAACAGTGAGATATCACTTCTGTACTACTCCCAAATACATCTGATTATAAGCACTTCCACAGCAAGATCCAGAAATTATTTCCAATTCATCCTTTTTCAGGCTACTGGGAGGTGAATGGCTTCGGTCTCTTTGGGATCTACAAGTCTGACTTTGATCGCATTGGAGGAATGAATACAGAAGAGTTCCGGGACCGCTGGGGTGGAGAGGACTGGGAGCTGCTGGACAGGTGAGGCTGCTGCATGTGATGGCCTGTAGCCCCCAGAGCCCGATTCCTGCTGGGCTGACTTGCGAATTGTATTGGCTGCAGCAGGACAAGACAGATTTCTTAATCTGGTTAGATAGCTGGGGATATTTGAAAGACAGAAGTGCCTTGAGATCTCACTGTCTGCTGTCTGTGCTGAGGCATCCCATGGAGGGAATGGCAGCAGGGAGTAACGAATCAGCACCATGCAGAAAAATCCAGTACACGGTCCTTCGCTGTGCCTGGATGCATTCATAATTAGGACAAAACTATTTACTGAAGGGAATTTTCCAGGAACCTTAATCTAGCCCCTCTCTTTCTTAAAAAAAGATGGTAAACAGCTCCAAGATTAACCCTTTCCACCCACAGCAGCAATGCCTTCCCATTTTGCAGTTAACATTCTTTGGAAATTACATGGTCTCTTGCTAATATAGTAAGCATACATCTAGCTCCCTTTTTAATGGGGAAGGACAAACTGCAGAACAGCTCTCCCCTGCTCCCCATAGCAAGGCTATAGTGCCTCCATGTATAATATGTGGACAGGATGTTGTGCAGTTGACTTTGAAAAGGCCCGGGGCTTTCATGCAAAATCTGAAATGTGATTGGAGCCTGCTGTGACTGTGCAGAAATGCCCTCAGGCTGTCAGTCTACTTGAAGTTTTCTTTTCAAGAGGCATACACCATTTTCCAGCTCCTTGTTGTAGGGTACAAAGGATGAAAATATTGCATTTTAACTTCTGCTTAATAAAATCTTTTGTAACACAGTTTTGCAGCAGGATTCCTAGAAAGTCTCTCTACCCCTGCCTTTCATTGGGAGGGTGGAAACGTGCATTATTCCTCCTAGTCTTTGGCTATATCCATTACTTCAGTAACACATGCTTTTTTCCCAGAATAACAAAACAGCCAAAAGATAGATATCCTCTATCTTTTTTTAAAAAATCTGTGTTTCCTTCCTACCAAATTTCCAGAACTTCCCAATGATAAAAATGTATTTGGCATCTTAACAGTACTGCTTTAGCACAACACCAGAGCAATGCAGAGAAAGTCCAAGATTTGAAAATGTCAGATCCTTAGTCCTTCTGAGGAACAAAAGGTTTGTGTGTGCAGGGGAGGGACAGTTCAAGGGAAAAGAAGCACTCAGACTCTGAAAAATCCTATGGCGTACTCCCAAAGCATTTGAGAATTTAAAAGCTAAGATCGGGCAGCCAGTGTAAGTGGTCCAGAATGATTCTTATTATGATGCTTAGTACCACCATCTTCATTATTCTGTCACCTAATAGCTGATACTCTCTGGGCAGTACAACAATTCATAAAATATGGTATAACTTAGGAATAACAGTTAAAACATAACATTTCAGTACCGAAATTGAAAACATACATTTAAGCAACTGAAATATCTTCAGGCAGGTTAGAAAACTAGACTTGTTCAAAGAGTTAACATCACACACACACACACGCTTTTTGAAGCTGTTAAAAGGCTTGGCACAGAAGGCAGTCTTGACTTGGTTCCAAAAGGTTAGCAGAGTTGGTGCCAGGTGGGCCTCCGTTTTGCATAACTGCAGAGCTGCCACTGAGAAGCCCTCTTCCTTGTTGCCACCAACTGAGCCTCTCTTGGAGGAAGACCGCAGGTATCGAGTGCAGTGTTCAGGTAGCTTCTAGCTGGGAGAAGCATTCTATCAAGCATTGCAGTCCTAAGGCATGCAGGGTTTTGGAAATTAAAACCAGCACCTTAAATTGACTCCAGAAACGTATAGGCAGCCAGTGCAAGCGGAGAAGAATTGGTGTTACATATTTGGAGTTCCTGGTAATGCTTAGCCACTAGCATTTTTCGTGCAACCCTCTGAACCGAGTGAAGTTTCCAAAATGCCTCTCAAGACTTGTCCACCCTGCTGAACTGACATGCATACACTCCATACTTACCCTGTAGTAGCTTTCCCCGCTACCTGGGAGGGATAGAAAAGCAAAAGGCAGCCCTTGCAGGCCATGCCCATACAGCAAGGTCCCACATGGCTGGTTCAGCCCGGCACTGGCTGAGGCTCCTGTCTCTGCTGCCGCAATTGCTGCTTGGGATTGCTCCTCCCCGCACCATGGCTCTGCTTCTTTGGAGCCTGTTGGAGCAGTAAGGAGCATCCCGGGGACTTCCATGTTGCTTGGAGGCCTCTGAGAGCCTCCTGTAACTGCTCACACAGCTTGAAGTCCTGCTCATGTAGCCAGTGTTAGCTCAGAAGGACACGATCACGCAAGGCCGCACCTGCAAGCAGAACCACGGCCAATTGTAGCATCGGTATTCATAGAGGAGCCATAACCTTATGCACGTCTGCTGCTCCGATGCTGTGCTGCTCGTGCGGATGGACCGCTTGCCAAAGCAGTTCACTGGTGACAGGATCAGAAGTTGGTGTGTTTGACTTAGCGGCCATCTGGAGGCAGGTCCTAATGATGAAGGATGTAGAAGGCAGAGCTGGTTGTTAATTAGCATTTCTGCATTTTTGCAGTCTGTGGCCAAGCCAATTTCTAGGAACTCACTTGCAATTAAAAAATGAATAAAATATGCGACTAACAGCAAACTCACACATATTCTTGAATACTAAGTCAAAAGAATATACATTGCCCTCTGGTTCATGTTTACCCCACAAGGTTTGCCAAAGCCTAAAGTTGCAGAAGCCTGGAGAAGCCCACAAGAATACCTCCTTAATGCCATGCAGTGTAACAAGTTTATTCAGCAATAGAGGCTATGGATTTAATAAGATATGCTTCTGCATAAGCCTGCACTGGATGAGAGCCTTCATTCTTGCACTGGATGCCTCCAGGATGTGTTTTACAGATGTCTAGGGCTATAATAAAAGAGGTACTCTAAGATTGGAGGGGGGTAGTTTATGGCCCTTCAGTTATTTTGGTCTACAGTGCCTATTAGACCTAGCCAGTGTAGCCACTAGAGAAGGATGATGGGAATTGTAGGAGTAAACATCTGGAAGGCCACCAGTTCCCCTCTCTAGCTTTAAAAGGTTTTTTTCACACAGGACATGACACGCAAAGGCCTGTTGAATTTTATTCACTGAACAGAATAAATGTAAAAGCAAGATGTCTTAGAATGTATACTCGATTTCTCTTCCATACACATTGCCTATATTAGCAACATTCACATGTGGCGCAAAGTGTGTGTGAGAGCCAACACGTATTTTAGAGTCCTTTGTGAAAATCATCGGAGTCCTGACTGCACTTTAGTTGGAGGGTTGGGTGAAGTAGCCTGTGTCTTTCTCTCCGTTTCCTTTCGTTGTTCCAGGGTGCTTCAGAGCGGGCTGGAGGTGGAACGCTTGCGACTCAGGAACTTTTACCATTACTACCATTCCAAGCGTGGCATGTGGAATTCACGCAACAAGAAGACACCCAAAGACTAAACACCAGCCAGGCCTGCTATCGGCTGAACCCTGCTCCTGCCCGCCTCAGGAGGCGAAGAGGAAGCGGCAGCAGCAGCCGCCGGGCTCTGCTGCCGGGGCTCAGCTCAGCTCCCGGGTTGCTGCAGGGGCACTCCTGGACGCAGCGCCAGCCAGAGTCTTGCACAAGGGTGCTCCGAGTTGAGGGTTTCCACAGAACTACTTAAAGCAAACCATGTTTACTTTGGGATTTTTGTGACTTTTCTTAAGGAATCTAATTTCTTAGTCAGAAATTACATTTATTAACTCAGTAGTGCTGAAAGATGAGGATTCCTGCAAAAGGGAGAATGGGGCACATCTTCCAGTATTATTGCTGCCAGCCAGGAAGGCTCTGGGGCAGCTGGGACAAAGTTCATGCTACTGCTGGAGAAAGGTCAGGGTGGCTTGCCTGCCTCCTAGAGGGCTCTCCTAGCTTCAGTCCCAGAAGAGGAAGAGAGGCTGTTCAGTGGGACATGTGTGGCTCTTTTCGGAAGTAGCCAAGCCTCCACATGTTTTTGTGTCAAGAGCAGAGTGGAAGAGAATTCGGAGTCTAGAGAGGATTTCAAAGGAGAGGTAAAAGGCTTTGTGGGGGGGGGGGTCTCAAACTTCCCAGTCCAATTAACTTGGCTTCTTTTGCTGCTCCAGCCCCACAGCTGTATCCCCTCTCGGGCAGAGGCAGCCCCAGATTTAGGCTTCTGTGGCAATGAAAGTGCTGAAAAGGGCCATCTCCCTCACTGGGGAAAATTAATTCCCCTGGAAAGGGAGTTCCCTGAAAAATGCGTTTCCCTGGAAAGGGTGAAGGGATGGTTGTGAAACTGCCTTTCACAGCACCCAAATTCCAGCCACTCAATAGGAAATGATCCTACCAAGGGAACTGGGAGGACAAAGGCCTAGTGAGTCTTGTTCTTCCACATCTCCTCTGCAACAGAGCTTGTCCCTCCCCATTGGGAAAGCCATTGCAGGCCTCTTTCAGACACAGTCGAAATGGCAAAGGAACAGGATGCACAAAGCATTCCCTCTTCCCACCTCATTCCGTTTCTTCCTTCCTCTGTTTGGTGCTTGCTTGTTTTTTGAAAAGTGCAGAACAATGGCTGCAGTGGCCAGCACAGTGGGGAAGAGCCGGGATGAGCCTCAGCAAAACTGTAGCAGATGAGAAATTGGAATTAATAAGACACCCTGAAGGCAGGGTTATTAAGCGAGCTTAAGCTAGTTGTTCGTCACTGCTCAGATGGTGACACTGGCAGGAGAGAAACAGCCACATCTTTATGGTGTGGGACACCACCTGCAACACCACCCAAAAGCAAGCCCTCTCAGTGATTTGGGGAAGCAGGTGCCGAAGAAATGCTGGGCAGGGGCTGGATGAGTCGACTCACCGGGAGGATGCTCATGTGTTTTCCAAGCCATTAGTATTTCTGGAGCCACCTCCTCCCTTTACGCACAAACACCCCAAACTGGAGAATAGGTGAGGCTTCAGTACCCTTCAGTGTTATCTTCAGTCAGCAGTGGGTTGAAGTATCCTAATGGAATAATGCAGGAATCAAAGGAGGGGAGGGCAAAAACAATATTTCCAAGCTAATTTCTGTGAAATTATGAGGTAGAAAGCGGTTTTCAGAAAGTTACGTCTGGTTTGGTTTTGTTTTTTAATTTTTATTGATATTGTTATTAAAAAATAAAGTAAACTTCTTGGCTCTGATTTCCGCAGTTTTCCGTCTTGGTGCTTTGCACATGGATTGGAAGGCATCGTGGTGGCGGCACCTGCTGCTTCTCTCCCAGCCAGGCTGGCAGCGGCAGTGCAGCATTGTGCTGTGCTGGTACAAGGTTCCTCAGCCAGAGGCCCCCACAGATGACCAGGATGACGTGACCCCACTGCCCCCCATGCAGTGCGGCCCCGTGCTTACCTGGGAGTGAGCATCGGTGAATGCAATGGAACCTACTTCCAATACGAATTCAGCTTCAGAGGAAAATACTAGAGCTGCTGTTCATTCAGTCAGTCACATGAGATGATAAATCAGTTAACCGATTGATTTTGCTTGTAAGAATAACAACACATCCAAAGAAGAAGAAAAAGTTACATTTGCCTTTGGAATAGCATCCTTTATCTCCTGCATGAGACACAAGAAGGGAGGCCTCTTCTAAGACTGTGCTTATCACCTGCAGTTTTTGCAAGTACTTTCATTACAAATGGCCTTTTCAGAAGATCTGCTGCCTTGTTCATCCGAGGCACCTTTTCATTCCAAAAGTGTTTAGGTAGATGAATCTACCTAAGGCAGGCAGACCTTAGAAAATATCAAAATACGCAACGGGGGTGAGGAACCAGTTTTGTCCTGAGGCCCAGGCATGCCAGCAGTAGGTGGAGCCATTGCAGGGAGCAGAATGTGAGGAAGTCCTTACTTGGCTCCAAGAGAGGGAGAGGGACCTCTCTCTAATCTGCTGCCCTCTCTCTCTACCTGCTCTCAACACTGCAGCAGGTACAGGAGCAGGACCTGGGGAAGAAGCTTGCCAGACTAAATGGGAAAGCCATGGGCTGAAGGCTGCCTTTGTTTGGTGTTGCCCCAGTCTAGTGCTAGACACATAGAGCAGCTAGTACTTCTGGGCAAAGATTTGCATCGCCTTTCATAGCAAAAGGCACATCCAGTTAGAGGAGCAACATGGGCTGGATGGGGTGACACATTGCAATGCACATGTGTACCAGGAGTGTGCGCAGAAATCTGTTCTTACATGTGTTTCATTAGGTACATACAAGAGAAATTATGCTGTGCATCAGGAAATGAATGTCCTCAGACCAACCATTACTATACCCTGCCTCACAGGTTTGTTCATACCCTGCTAGGGCTGGGTGTGGCGAGGTCACATGGAAATTCTGGTGTGCTTTGAAAACTATCTTTAGAGCTGGTGAGAGAAAGAGAAAATGAGGGCAGGCAGAACTACTAAGGAGAGAGAACAAGGGGACAGGGCAGATCTCAACAGGTGCTAGGCAAACAATTCAGTAGTTCAGTACAGCTACATGCATTCCGGGTAATAAAAGCATTTCTTCAAGAGTAGTTTGATTTATTTCTGTCACAAGATAATGTTGCTTTTGCAGTCTCTGGAGATCCAACTAAGGCTGCTTCCAGATGGAGCTTTAGCAGACATCAAACATATTTAGAGCTGATGCCAGCTACTGCAACCTGCTAGCACTTGCAGAAAGTGCTCAAGCCAAGAGCCAGGAGTAGATAATCAGATGCCCTCCAGATGCTTGCACTGCAGCTCCCACAAGCCCCAGGGAGTTTAGCCAGTGGTCTGGGACTATGGGAGCTGCAGTCCAAACCATCTAGAGGGCACCAGGTTGCCTACTCCTAGCATAAGCAGGGTAATGTTATAAAAGCTAACCTTGAAAGAAGACTGTTCCTCTGTAAATGAGCGTGTCCCTGTGTGATTCTCAGCTGGCATTTTGGTACAGGGAAGTCTGTATCTCAAGAGGACTTGATTTCTTTTAATACTATTTTCCAGTTCGGGTTTTAAAAAACAGTGCTTCTATTACAAAATGTTCACAAAACACTTCAATGTGTTATCTATTTGTACATAGGAGTATTTGCTACCTATCTCCATAGCAGACAGGAGTACTTAACCTTGAGTAACTGGACTTAAATGTTCAATGCAGCTGCTTCCTTGTTTTACAGGCCCCTCGGAGCACAAGGTTGTATCCCCTTCACAGAGCTCAGCTGCTTTTTCCCTGTAAGTTTCAGGTGCACGTTCTTTAAATGCAGTTGGCTCTGTTTTCAAAAGCTGGGTGTCAGTGTCAAGACAGCCTAATCCATGGTATTTCTGATGGAAATGGTGGAATGGGTCTCTCAGTCCACTGCACTGGACTTGCCAGAACCTACAGCCAAGTCCATTTGAAAAATCTATGGTGCTTGTGAGGTTTTATTGGACACATCTAGCTTTTAATTCTCCAGTGGTGTGGGCACAGAGTAGCAGAAGCTACCCTTCCAGTCCTGAAGATGGGGAGAAGCCCTGCTCTGCGAGCACCTCCGTCTGGGTCTAGGTAGCTGCTGCAAGGAGCTGGGCCTTCTGACACCAGGATGCTCCTTGTGCATCTCCTTGCCTAAGAAGAGGCACCAAACCTGCTCTCTTGTTCTCTTTTCTAGGCTGCTTAGGGTTTCCAGCCTGCTGTTTCTGATTTGATCTTGGCCATCGGAGGAGTGTGGTGCTTTCAGAGGGCATGTACTCCACCGATTCCACTACATTGTGCTTGCATGGCAGAGCTCAGCAGGGCTTGTAGGTGGGATCTAAACCTCCATATAAATAAGCCAACAGCAAGACGTACCACCTAAGCATCTTCCACACATCAAAAATATGCTCACTTCCATTTTCTTTACTTACAAAATGCAGCAGGTAAATGGGATGGAAGGGAGGGAGGAGAGATACAAAGCAGATGGCAACACCACAAGCATGTTCTCATATCCAAAGCTGCATCTCTCTGTGGAACTTGGCTCACATGTTCCCTCCAGCCATGCTCTGCAGGAAAAAATACGCAAAAGGCAGAATAAGTAGTCAACTATTCTATTGGTGTGCACTGTACAATAATGTGTGCACTGTTGCCTATTTTAAAGAACATACAGCAATCAGGAGTGTGGTTTCCCAAAGCAGTGTGAAATGGGTGCATATGGGACACAGGAGAAGTCCAGTTCTTGCAGCCAAAGGGCATTGCCTAGAAAAAAGAATCCACAGAGTTTCCCACCTAATCTATGTCCACCCACTGGAAACAGCGGCACGAAAGACAGGTTTCTTTAAAGGGGTGGGGGCTTCTCCTTGGTTTGCCTATTCAAACAAGGTGATTTAGTGACTGAGGAATGTTTTCAAGGTGAGTTAGCCAGTCACTGCGAGGTTGCACAATCCCACAAGGCAGGTACACTTAGTAGGCTCCCACTATTACGTGCACACACAACATGCAGCCTGTGCCCCACTCCACACGTCTCTGGCAGGGTGACTTGGGGAAAGTGCAA